AGGTCATCTGAGCTAGAAAAAGGCAGTGATAGAGCTGCAATCCTGCTAAAGGCAGACGTCGTAGACGTTGCAGCGAGTAACTGATAGTCAAGTTAAATCAAATTAGGCTTTAACCACCCGGGTAGGTGCAATTTCAGCATCTTGCAATATCACCGCGGATGGTGATTTATATGAATTAATGTCACAGAAAAAAATATAACGTGTAAAATTATTAACACTTCTCAATCGAACGAATAATTACGCATCGTACTAATACCTTTCATTTGGTCAGCTAGCAAACGGGATAGTTACGGTAGCACGGAATTGCTGTAAGTTGAAGTACGTGTAAATAAAATTTTAAATCAGTAGCATGTAGAGGAAATAGATAATCTTTTTGATAGGACATAATGTAGTGGATGAAGAAGGACGCTTAGAATTTTGGAGGGAAATCTGGTACAAGCGTTTAGGTACTTGTTTATAATAAAATCCATAAGGGACTTTCTAGACAATCCGCTTCATTTCTGAAATAAGCTTTACGGAACACAACATTAATGTACAGTATTTTTGAGAAATTCAGGGAAGGTTACAAGAGGACAGTAGGGCTAATGTGGCAGTATACATGCGGTCGCAAACCCAGAAATCAAATAACGGGGTACTGAAAGCATTTTAAGTCGAAGTGCATAAAAGGACAACGGTTTAACCTTAGAAAAGGTTTCGGCAACGGGAATAGACCGAGATAAGATGGTGCAGAAAAAGTCCCCTAGAAATTTGCTACTTGACCATCTGAGTATGATCTCAAACTGCCAGAGAAGTGGTGTCCAAAACAAGTTGTTACTAGTCAGCTTGAAGAAAGGAGAATGTTTATTCAGCTGTTGTTCTGTTCTCCTAGCTTAACAGTTGCGTTGCAAAGCTTACATCACTAATTGAGGTGAATTCTTCGGTGCATAGTAGGTAAACTGAGCGGTTGGTCGACTCTTACCAAGGAGCAGGTGACATTTGAACTTGGCCACTCGGATCCGCGTCCCGTGACCATCATTAGTTCGCTGTTCCGGCGCCTCATCTTTCCAACGCAAGTGCTGAATGACCCAGGTAAATGTTATTTTCGCATCTGATGGTATAGCGAAGCTACGTCGATGTGCAGGTTTACTGAATTCTCTGTAGAGAAGCACGAGTTGAGAAATTCGCACATTTTTAGTCTCTTCGTGCGCTCGCATTTCTGTTTTCTCCCAATCAAGCATGTGCCGCTCATCGTCAACGTGTATCGAGGCCAACGATGGTGAGTGTTGATGTTGACAGGCTCGTTTGTGTACTTGCAAGCTGATAGACAATTTTCTTTCCGTTTAGTTCACCTAGTGTTTATGACAATGTTTACACGCTATCCAGTAAATAGGCTGGCTTGTCAAACCATCTCTTCGTGGTGCCAACTGGGTGGTCCGTGTGTTCGGCGACAGTGTTCCACCTCGGTGGGACTTCGTGGTCGAGCAATCGTTCTGCTTTCACGGGGAGTATTGGGCCCCAGTTTAATGATCTATTAAACAAAAGACGCATGTCCTGAACATTCAGTCAGCGTCTCTTAGTAGACGCGATTCCTTTAATTCGATCCCCTACCTTGCGGGCAGATTATTTAGCTAAAGGCTCGGGGTGGGATCCCCTAAGTAAACTGTGTTCGTTGGCTTGGCCGAATAAGTATGATCACGCCCTCTCCCTAAACCATGGAGTGTACTACAACGAGCTCACCAGCTAGTGTTTCTGTTTCTCACATTCACGCGACTTCAACACACGCCGATTGTTTGTTTGCTAATAATCCTCACTTTCAGTTACCTGATTCATGTGTTCAAAAATCTGCCTGCGATTCCGGTTGCGCTGCGGACCACAGAGTTCAACCTACGGCTCTCCTTCGTCCCCGATTCTCGTTCCGTCTGGCGTCCTTCAACGTTCGGACACTCATACAGATTGGACAGTAAGCCGGTCTAGCGCGCACCCTAGAGTCCCACGATATTGATGTTTACTGCCTTTCAGAATCCCGATTGCAAGAACTTAACACTGCACTTACATTGATATCCCGCACTGAGCACGAAGCCAGAAATCACCTGCGTTGTTCTGGAGATCCAGAAGCAGTCTCAGTGGCTTTGACTGGTGTAGGTATGGCGCTAAGTGGCAAGGCCGTAGCGACACTACTGGGGTGGTTCCCGATTAACAGCCGACTATGTGCAGTGCGGCACCGGGGTTCATCTAGAATCAACAAGCGCCGCGAGAAAAGACGCAACTCGTTGGTGATCGCGTGCGCAGTAATTTATAGCAGTGATGGCTTGGTCTAACAAGACATACATCAGCCCTTGACCGATGCCAAAAGTCGGTCGTCTTCCTTGCTGAGGATTTTGATGCACGGGTTGTCCGCCTGTTACCATGCGAAAGCCACCTTCGTGGTCACCACACGCTCGATGAGAACCGCTCCGAAAGCGGTAAGAGGCTGCTCATCGTGCGATAACAACCATCTGCTTCTCGCGAGCCCTAACTTCAGGCGTTCGAAGAAGCTTTCTGAAACTTGGCGTCCCCTTCACCAACACAACCATGGTCTCATATTGATCACATTGCAAGTAGCTTCAGATGACGTGGCAACATACTGGACTGCAGGTCCTTTTGGTCCACCTTAGTTGACTCAGCTCATGCACTGGTCTGAACGAAAATCTGTGTGTCTTTTGGGGGGTCCGGAAACAAGAAACACTGCAAGATTGATGTAAACAGACGAAACGATTCCTCTGTCCAGGCGTGCTATCAGTTTTCACTGGCATATGCACTCAGTTGCAATCCACCGCAAGACATAGAGCAACACTGGACTTGTATACCGAAAGCGATGACCATTTCCAGACAGTCAAGCTGCGGCCTAACTCAATGTCCTTGAGGGCTTAGATCTGTTCTCACTCTCTGGAGCTGTTCGAACGCCGCAAAGAGATCCCGGCAGAATCAGGTTGCAACGAGTAACGTGTTCTGCCAGCCGGCTGCTAAAGCAAAACCTACGCAAGTATCCCAAGGCATGGGGTCTGAACGTGTTTTAGAGATGGAGAGCGCTGCCCTCTCTGGCAACACTCGCATACTTTTCCAACTCATTCGGTCCAGTGGCCTCAGGAAGCCTGGCGTCACTAAGGTCATTTGCGAGTTGGATATATCCCCGATCAACAACCAACGGAAACGTACGAACAGCTGAGCCGAGCACTTTCACTCGCAATTCAACTGGCTTCCACCGTCCATCGTTACATACAGTACACCTTGTTGTCCACCCTAACTCGTCCCACTGAATTCACCTAGCGAAGCGAAGGTCTGCCTCAAGCTTCGAAGCTTGAAGCGGTTCAAGGTTGCCGGCTCAGATGGACTTCCTATGAAGCTGTTCAAGTGCGGCGACCTGGCAATAATTACCCAACTGACCATGCTGTTCGGAAAAATTTGGCATGAAGAGAAAGTGCCTTCCTCTTAAGGCGAATCAGTTATTGTCCCGATTTGCAAGCAATGCGCCCGTACTTCATGTGTAAATCATCTCGGGTTTAGTCTTATTTCGGTTGCCTCCAAGCTGTTGGCATCCATGCTGCTCCGTAGGCTATCCCCAATACGTGAATCATCCTACCGTGAAGAACAAGCTAGTTTCCGTTCCAGCTGCGAATGCGTGGATCAAATCTTCACGCTCCGCCAAATCCTCGAACATTGGCACATTTATCACAGGCCTACCATCGTTGCATTCCTAGACATATGTGCCACGTTCACCTCCTTGATCGACCTGCTTTATGGCGTTGCTTGCTAAAGAACGAGGTGTCAGAGAAATGTACCGTCGTCTAACGAGCACTTTATCTCCATACCTCCGGCTGAGTGAGGGTTTATGGCAAGCTTTCATCGCCATTCCCTGTCAATAGTGGTCTGCGACAGGGTTTCCCTATGTCCCCATTCCTCTTCAACTTCGCAATCGAAAACGTTCTGTCGAGTGCTCTAGTCGGTTTCCAACATTTTGGCCTGGAGCATCTACCGGGTGAGTGCGCGAATGAGTTAGATTATGCTAACAGCATTTCTAATCTTTGGCATTCGGGACGTCGTCGCAACATCTCATTCACGCTAAAGAACCACGTTTACAGTGCATCTGTTTGTTCAGTATTGTTGTATGAGGGCACGTTCTGACAGATTCGCGAGGAAGACGTGCTTCATCTTTCTGACTTCGATAACGGTCGCTGAAGGAAGATTGTTCGTGTGTAGTGCTAACAGCGAGTTAACAGTAATGACGTTCGATTTCGCATCTTGTGGAATGCGAGTATTCCTTTAACAAACTGGTTTTGCTGCTCCACTTGAGATGGCTCGGTCACGTCCTACGCATAGCACTTCAGCGTCTACCGCGTCACGCTCTATTTGCTCGTCAAGGACCTGGTTGGAGGCGACTGCGTGGTGGATAACACATGAAATTGCTGACGTGGTGTCTGGCCGTTGTTAAGCCCTTACTTCTTCCAGGATGAGGGCCAAAAAATGAAGAGTGCCAATAGTATAATACTCTTACCGACTGCCCGGAACCGGAATCAGAGGAAGAATGGTGTACCGAATTGCATTGAATCCCATGTTTATTACTGCAAACATTGAACATAACAAAAAAGCGCAAAACCAGCGTGTGAAAAACAAACTAAACATGTTTTGTTCTGCTTTTCGTCAAAATGATCCTTTCTTCTTTCGACATAGTAGCTGAATTGTGTTTCGCACCTTCAACTAGCATGCTACGATGATTATGACTTAGTGACTTCCCCTTATTGGCTAATCTCCATTGCTTTGTTTTCTTTATTCCTAGGTGCTAGACGGTTGTGATTACATAGGTGCATACATCGTGTAGATAACGGTCCGGCGTTCAAATCGGAGAAAAGCACATACTCTGAACAGAAAACCCGAACTACGAGTATTACGATCTATTGCTGTCTAATTGGGCGGTGAGCCCTCCGGACTGCTCAACGATGTGACGATGTCACCTTCAGGCATGCCTCAACTCAGCATCAACTTACTTTTCCCCACAACTGCACGCAAAGAGACGTTCTTCCTCGCCATATGAAGTACAAGCCGCTGGTTAACGATCCACATGCATGGACCATTGCCAAACAATCTGGAAAGCACATGGTATGGCTAAAGATTTTGGACGCCGTCAATCGTATCAAGAAATAAAAATGTCGTCTAAACAAACACAGAGTTACCTGCCTACATATCGTAGGACAATATCTGACAGCACAACTTAGCATAGCAAAAGTTCGCAGGACAACAAAGGTTAGAGCGAAGAAACAGGCTGCTTTGCAAGAGAAGTTGGTCAAATAAACCGGCTATACATGCAAAATGCCACTGACAGCTGGGTCAGGAATCTGTCCAGCCGGACGCTCAGTGATGCTGAAAGGCAAGTGTTTATCAAAGAGTTAAAGTATAACTACAAAAAGGCCAGACACACTGAATTTCTTGTCGGATTCGAGAATGTTTTGCAACCCAATGGCTCTGACGAGGAGATGAAAACACAGTTAAGATCTGCTGTCGTTACAATAATAACACACAACAAGCAATAACATTTTTTATCAAAGCCAGAGGAGGAAGCAATAAGATCTTTAGAGGCTGATAAAGCTATCGTGATCCTGCCTGCGGGCAAAGGGCGTATAGGTGTTATAATGGATAAAACAGAATACATTGAAAAGACAAGGATACTCTTAAGCAACAGTAAAACCTACTTCTGATTGGAAAGCAATCCAATAGTAAAATTAATAAATAAAATAAATAAGACCCTAAAATCTTCAAGATTCAAGCAACTCACAACAGCGGAACACAACAGAATGTAAGCACTTGACTCAAACGTCGTCCGATTCCACGGACTCCCGAAGGTGCACAAAGCTGAGAAACCACTACGGCCTACCGTGGTACTCTCTGGTACGCCCATCTACAACTTGGCTAAAGAATTATGGATGCGCGTTATGCAGCTACTTAGTGGATCGCGGTATTCCATAAACAACGCTCAGCAGCTTTTCGGGTAAACCCAAAGGACTGCGAATTGAGCGTGAACAAATGATGGTGTCCTTAGACATTATTGTACTGTTCACTTCTGTCAACCTACAAGCGGTGCTAGAAAACAGAAGAGAAGGACTGCAAGCTTCAGTAAGATTGCACGACGCACCTCGTTGCACTGAGAATGCAACATCACATGGTGGGGAAACGTTTACGACAAAACCGCCAAGCTCGGAGAACAAATGAACAATTCAGTCATCAACCCTAGCTACTCGTATTTCGAAACGCTTCTTGACTTGTATTTCAAGACGTACTTAAACTTCGATGGGGAAATCTATGAACAGGAAACAGTATCCCCAATGGGATCCCCCATAGGTTGATTCATTTCGGATTGTCATTCAAAAGTTAGAAGAAATTCTACTGCCAGCTATAAACTCGAAATTGTGGGTCAGATGTGTTGACAACACATTGGTCCTACTAAAACCCAGCCAGTTGCAAACCGCAAAAACCCTGTTGAACGATGCAATGGACAGTATTCACCAAAGAGGCATAAATGGAGAGCAATCTACTTGTAGTAGATATACTGGTTACTTGAACAGCGGACGGAGAACTACAAACACCGGTTCACGCACACAGACCAAAGCCTACCTTTCAACAGTAACCATCCAAATGTCCAAAACTCAGCAGCATACGGACCTTGTTTGGTAGGATCGAATCACATTTTAATACGGCGGAAGCAAAACGCGAAGAAGAAAACCATCTGTTTACATTATACATGCGCAATGGGTATCAGCATAATTTCATCCGGATACATAAACCACAAAAATACGAATACCACAACTGAACCAATAAATACGAAACACACGCCCAGGCATACGTCAAGAACGTAGCGGAACTGATCGTTAGACTCCTTAAGTCTCGTCATCTGTTATAAGCTCACATAACAACCAACACTAAAAGAAGTCCCGTCTAGAACGTAAGCAAAAACAAGAGCACAAGAACTCTGGACCGTTATTCACAGGGTAAAGTGCAAAAAATGTGATAAGAACTAGGTAGGTCAAACAGGGAGAAAATTGTCTAATAATGTCACAAAAACGCAAACGAGCACGTCGAAATCATTGCTCATCATCATTGGCCTCGACACACGCTGACGATGAGGGGCACATGCTTGATTGAGAGAAAACAGAGGCGCAAGCGCAGGAAGAGACTAAAAAGTGTGCGAATTTCTCAACTCGTGCTTCACTACAGATAATTCAATAAACCTGCGCATCGACATAGCTACGCTATACCATCAGATGCGAAAATAACGTTTACCTGGGTCATTCAGCACTTGCGTTGGAAAGATGAGGCGCCGGAACAGCGAACTAACGTTGGTCACTGGACTTGAATCGAAGTAGTCAAGTTCAAATGTCACTTGTTCGTTGATAAGAGTCGACAAACCACTCAGGTTGCTTACTACGCGCTGAAGAATTCACCTCAATTGGTGATAAAAGCTTTGCAATGCAACTGTTCAACTAGTAGAACAGAGCAAAAGCTGAACAGACAACCCAAGCTACAGGGATTCCGATTTATTGCTTATGTTAAATCCCGACTTTAGGAAGGTTGCAAAATCAGAGATCGGGATGAGGACCAAAGCATCAGCTTATCTAGACCATTTTGAAAATTAGAACTTTTCAAAGCGGTTGGATTTAGGCGTTCGAATGCGACATCGTCAGCGTACTTTCATGCAATTAATGTAGATATTATGGGGAGCTTGTCAGTGTATAAACAAAATAAAGCGGGTGAGATGATGGCTCTCTGCAAACAAATCTCGAGTAGAGAGTAATGAGAGCAATATGAATAACATTCAAGTCGAAATTACTACTACGTCGCTTACTTCTGCTGCTACTTTGGCTGATACTCCTGCTTATCCATCACACGGCAAATTATATTGTTGCTAATCTAAAACCTGTTGAATCTACCTCCGCTAAGAATTTTGAAGAAGCCACTGTTAAGTAGTTGACTTTGATACGATTGTCACTGGCATGGTTTGAGCACGCCTAAGATAACGGATTGGAAAGCTGGTCATCAAAGAAATTTGCGCTGACGTGTTGGCGTTAGCTTAGCCCGGGGTAAGCACTGGTGGTGCAGGAAACCGTGCTAGTGTGAAAACGTTCCTAGCCACACCTATTCGGGTAGACGCTGAGCCCTCGTAACGAACGACGCTACGCACACGAGAGGAGGTGACGTTGGACGCGCGCAAATGGCTTAAACGCGAGCGCTTCCCGGCTATCGACGCAAACAAAAATCACGTGACAGAACAGACTCGCAACTAACGGGGAATAGAAATCAAGGCAAGTGTTCATCTGAAGGCTCTTTTACTACCAAAAAGGGTGAATCAAGGCAATACTATGGGTTATTAAGTTAGTGAAAAAAGCTACCGCGACGGGGCGGTACTTTGTAAAAGATCATTGTCAACATGTGTGCAGTTGTGCCGCATCTCGGAGTGGATGAAATCTGCTACGTTGGGGAAGGAACTGAACTCCGTTTTCCACAGCCATAACGCCGGATTTTGTGGCTCGTTTTTGCGGGGATATTTGACAAGCCCGCAACAGCTTCCAATGTCTGTCTTGCTGATTTCCAAACCCTTCCGCAGTCACGTATCCTTCGACTTCGAATTTCATTCCGCTTGGCAACGTTCAGTCTTCGGAATCTCCTACAGAATGGATAACAGGCTTGCCTGGCGCGCACCCTAGTCCGTCGCCATCGATGTTTGTTACCTTTCAGAGGCTAGATTGCAGGATCCCACCACAGTGGTTAAATTGCCGTCTCCAGCTGCTCTTGAAACCACATATTACCTACGTCTTTCTAGTGACGTGGAGACAGCGGCAGCCATTTCAGCTGGCGTCGGTATCGCATTGAGTGACAAAGCGAAGGTTACGTTCGTTGACTCGTTTCCAATCGGCAGACGGCTGTGTTGTAAACGCTTCTTCCTTTTTTACCTCTGCTGTATGCCACTGACGACTGTGGTACTGCTGCCAGCTGCCCCTTGAGACCGCACTGTCTGACTGCTCAGCCACGCGCCCAGCCCACCAGCGGAATGCAGAAGACCAAGGTTCGGTAGACAGAGAGGCTTATTGCATGAGAGCACGGCCCAATAAATAGGTTGTGAGCAAATACTTAAACAACAATATTAAATATGCTAATTGGCGTTACTTAACACAACTCAAATGGTTCAGGTTCGTGATCCAACTTGCTTCTGAGTCTGCATCAATTCTCATGTTGATCTATAATCGAGTTCGATCTCTAATTGCAGATCGATGCACTTTCTCGGCTTGAATGCTAGTCTCTCTCCGTAACAGGCTTCAAGACGCACGTAGAATCAACAGACATCGTGAAGAGGCGCAATTTGTTTGTTTTTACTGCCTATGCTCCAACCAACTGCAGCTGTGCATCGGTTAAGGATGACTTCTATCGTGGTTCCACAACCTCTTGAACAAGGCCGAAATGTCAGATGTCATCATCCTTGCCGGAGATCTCAATGCACGGGTAGGTCTCCTGCTTCCTTGTGAACATAATCTTGATGGAAGTCATGCGCTTCATGAGAGCCGTTCTGACAAAGGTGATAGACTCCTTACTTTATGCGAAGACCACCGTCTCGTTCTCAAGCGTGCGAACTTTAGGTATACCAGAAGACGCGCAGCCACCTGACGTCCACCTAAACTAACGTAACCGTGGTCACTAAGTGATCGCATTGCAATAGACTTTAAATGGCGTCGCGGCGTCCGGGGTTGTAGATCCATTTGGCCTACGTACCTCAAATCAGATTATGCTTTGGTCTGCGCGGACATCTGCTTGCGCTTCGGCAGCTCCTCAAAACGAAAGCTCTATACGCTCGACACCAACAAGTTAGCTGACCTCTTTTCTCGAGCGACTTCTCAAGCTTCCTTATGGCATGCATTCATCGGTGCTCCACCTCCAGACATCGAAAATGATTGGAGGTTCCCGCGTGAGGTGATGCTAGCTTCCAGTCATTCAATCTGCGGAACCATAACACAACCTCTGAGGAGGTGGATTTCCGCACACTCACTGGAATTGTTTGATCGTACATAAATAAATAAACAGTTTATTCTCGTAGAGCTATCCA